ATCGGTGGCTCAGTAAACATCTTCCAAACTCAATTTGGAGTTTAACACTGATAAATGTCAGTCTGGTGCCTCGCAATCATCACATCAGTATACGTCGCTCTCTTAAATATAGTCCCATACCTACCTAGTGGAGACCAAACAACTGTCGCCAACCCTACTGGTGAAGAACGTGCTCTCTCTCTCTCTCTCTGTATTTCCATTCCCAAGCCAGCACCATCCGATCGCTTTGCCATTTCTACAAGTGTCTGAATTTCTCTGGGAAAGGCACTTGCCTTTTTCAAATGTATTCTTTTGTTCAGCGCGTTGCTGCATTCTTTATTATTTTGGGGGGAAAAGGCAAGCCCTTGCTATTGTGGGGATTTTTTTTTCTCACACATACACAACATACCCAGTGCCCGAGGCCAATTCAATTCTTTGCTCCAAGGCAATTGTTTTAGGCTGGCTTAGGCAGCGTTTGCATGGAACAAAAAAACAAGTTGTTATCGATTCATCAAGAACTCTGCGACTATTTAATATAAAACAATTTAAAATGTTTGTTTTTTGATGCTGCAGTCGATAATGCGTTACCATGTTAAATGCATTTTATACACATCCCTTTCTTTTGGGGGGAGGGGGGGAATAAGAGGTTGGTTTAATCTGATATTCATTTTTAAGGCTACAGTGAATCAGAAAACAAGTTTGTTTTACTGGATTCAACCTGTGGTGAACACATGACTTGCAGGAATGACCAAAGTACCCAATGCTATCAAGAATTGCTCCAGAATGAGTCAGTATCCAGCGAGGATAAAACATAAAACACTCTTTTTTTTGCTTAAATCTGTATTTTATTTTTAAATCTGAAATGTTTAAAATATAATGCTGGAAATTCACAACCGGTCTGAACGAGAAAAGTCTTTGATGCTGCATCCCAGCACGTTATTTCTACGTTCTTTGAATAAAGATATTAATAATTGTGAAATAAAGGGGGAGATGTAACAGTGGTTTCTAACAAAACCTCTAATTTCCCAGTGACATGGATGTTGTGAAAATAACGACTCACAGTTTCCCATCCGAATTTGACAATAAAGTCCATATCAGAGGGTCCATTTTTATTTTTATGAATGTAACGTATAATGAAATAGCTGAGCATATTGTCGTACTAAAGGTGAGATTCAATTCTCGAGTCAGTGTGACCAATTCCTTGCCATTGTAGACAACGTTGAACGTTGAAGCAGAAGACCTATGAGAGTCGAAATATCACTTGTTATTTTGCCTGCAAGGCTATTTCGTCTTAAAATTTCAGGTTGCATCAGAATTGCAAAAAAAAATCTTGATTTCAGTCTCAATTGTGAGGTTGGTTCTTTTTAACCACTGCAGAAAAAACAGCTTCCACATTAAGGATGAATTTAAGAATTTTCCACAATTCTGCGTGATATTAAAACCCCAAGACAACATGATCTCACGGGCTAAAGTAGGTGGAATTTCGAGCTTCCAGAAGACATCCTCAAATCAGAGGTCAATCTCAAGAAGTTGTCCAGAAATGCTAACAGCGAAATAACGTTGACTGGATGGAAAAGCAAATCAGGAACAAGAGAAAAAAAACTGCAAGAAGGCGCAGAAAGAAGCGTTAAAGTTAAAAGAGACCGACAAAATATTTCAGCTGATATGAGGTGTATGTGTGTGTGTGGTGGTGGTGGTGGTGGTGGTTGGGGGGGAGGCACGTATCGAAAAGGCGATGAAACACCAGAAAAATAATAGGAGCAAAGAAATGCAGAGAGGCCAAAGTCAGAATGAGAGAGAGAGAGAAAAAAATAAGAGGAGGCAGGAGAAAGACGGGCTTCTAACCCAATTTGAGGTCTCTGCAGTTGTCGGGGATTGATTGATATGGGAGGTGTAAGATAGCGTTATCAGGAAGAACTCATCCGTTATCATCTGCAATTGTCTAAAAGTGGTCCATCATCCTGAGCTCCAGTCGGCGGTCAGCGAACAGCGTTGGCGACCAGAAGCATTTGCATAATCAAATATAATAACAGACAGTGTTTTAACTCCACACCACACACAGCCGTGGCTTACTCCGAATAAATCATATTAGTGCCAGTTAGCGGACTCCCGGGCTCCACTTTGATCGAAAGGAGAAACCACACGATCCGACTTTGATCTGCCGCACGTTTCCTTGAACGAAACCGAGAACAAAACACCTGATGCCGAACATGTAACCTCCTCATTCTAACACAGTAATTAATAATTAAGTTAAGTGAATCTGTTTTTTTCCAAAGTTCCGAATACATTGGGAAAAAAATTGGTGAAATTAACTGGTGAACCTGGTGAGATCAACTGTTCTTATTGAATCCCATTAATATGAATAGCAATCATGAGCGATCACCGTGAAGACACCCTTTAAGCACATTCAGTTGGTTATCAAATCCTGGTCAACTGATCGTTTTAAAACTTTTTTTTTAAAAAAAGGCTGGTTAAAGCTTTGCACAATCACAGCAGCTCATGTTAGGAGATTATGAATAAATCGACAACAAGCCTTTTTATTTTTTTGTGATGAGGGACAAAATTAAAGCTTTTCAGTAACTTTGCCCAGTCATTAACTAGTGTTTTTTCCCCCAGCTCCATCGATACCTACTCATTCAAGGCAGTTTAAATGGCAGTCTGTCAGTTTAGAGCACTCCACTCATCCTGTCAGGGATGTGTATTACTCACGACACGTGAACCCGGTGCCAGTAGCGTGTTTCCTGACATTCAGTAGTCTTGAGCATTTCTACAGTCGTTAAATGTTAAATGGTGCGAAATGAAACTAACCCCTTAAAAATCAGTCCAGAAGAAATGTCCAGGTTACGGGACTTCAAAGTGTTATTGTTTATATTCCACAAGTCTGGACAAGAGGCGCACTGGGTTATTTACACCTGGTTCATAAGATAAAGTCAAAACCTTAAATCGAATGAAATATGAAAGCGATCACTGTGTTGAAAGTGCCAGCGTTCAGTTTTATGCACGTTCTGTACCGCAGAAAGATAAAAGGTGATTTATTTCCCTGTGATATTCGCAACACACATTTACTGAATTGTATCAGACAGCAATTCCTACACAGGAGATAGATCCTCTATGTTATGAGCCGTGGGAGGTTCATGACTATAAATTGTGTGAATTTTGGAGTTGTAATTTTTTTGTTCACAGTCGCATGTGAATATAGCTGCTTCTGAGAGTTCATAAATGTGTTTGTGAATGCGTAACCAGTGTGGCTTTTCGCTTTGGCAGGAACCGGCTGGTTTAACATTTCCAAACAAGGACATTTCCGATTTCAAAAAAAAAGTCAATCAGGGTTTATACAGCACAACAAAAGGTCGAGGAAATCAGGGGCTGAGCGCCAGCGCCAACCGGGATATTAATATGTCGTTCCTCTTTTTTTNCACAGGGAAGTAATATGTGGCCACATACATGACAGAGTTACCACATGCGCTGTGGTTTACTGTGCAACTGGATTCTAGCATGTTTAGCGACACTGCTGTTCACACACCTTCGGGTTGATGCTCTGTTGCAGTTTACCAACAGGTTGCAAGGATTTACTGGGGCTTTGCCCATCAGACAAGTCCGCAGTGGTTAACGGTGCTGAATTCACATTGAACGCGCCACTGTCGAGTTAAATGCCCGATGAATTTATTCGGAATTGAATTTGACCCCGTTCTTCGTTAGATCTGTGCCTGTTCCTCTTAGACAGGGATGTGGATAATCAGGTTTAAGTGTAATGTAGTAGTAGGGCGAGTCTTTGATCTCGTCAGAATTAGATCTCATTGCCAACTTGTGGCAGTCAACAAAATGGGTAATATGTGCAAAAGAGAGACGGGGTTCGCGTTTGGTTCAAAACCCAATTAAAACTCAAAATAAGTTAAATTACAAATCGAATCTGAAACAGCAAGGGCTCGGTGTTGAGAACACTTCTCGCAGTTGTACCGCGGAGAGCAATAGAATAATAATAATGCTAATCCTTGCATTTGATATAGCGCCTCATCACGTCTTCGAGACGTCTCAAAGCGCTTTGCAGAATATACTGTTAAAGTGGCTATATTTTGTGGGCGAAAACGTGATAACTGGTTAGGAGAGTGAATAGTGATGATAACGCCAACAAAATATTGGTCCTGAAACAGTCCTGATTCCAATTGCGTTCATACAATAATAATCCTTGCACTTTTCGCACTTGCAAAATGCAATATTTATACCCTAGCCAAGCAAATGCACATTATAGGCAAACATCAGAAACCACAAACAAAATATCCGTCCAGTTTAGAACATTTGAAAAAAATAACTAGATTTGACGATTTTTACTTATGAACAGCAGTGCATTATTTATGCACTGAATTCGGATAATAATGGCACAGACAGAGCAAAACTACTTCTGGTAGGGAAGTCCTTTAGTTTAACACACGTGCAGCTATTTTGTCCGATGAAAAATGTTTGCAACGAACTTTAAAGGTTTAACAGTCCGGTCACTATCAAAGAAAACATAACATCTTTCCCAATGTTACACTTTCCATTCTCAAATCCGAATAAGTGGATGCGATCTAATGAGAATATTTAACATTTACGTTTCATTTACAACTGTCTTTCTCAACGAGAGTTAAACGCTACGAGTTGCAAATTCAGGTTTTGTTTAGGGACACTTCAGTGTTTTTTAAGCTTCAACAGAGACAGAATAAAATATTTGATTTGAATTGATTAGATCACCCCATATTATTATGATTTTTTTTTACCCCCTACGCGCTTCCATCAACTGTGAGGAGTACCCGGTTGGCAAGAAAAAGGTTGTTGCGAAATTGTTTATTAGTCGAAGGGAAAACTATTTCGAAATCTGTGTAAGATCATCATTGCTTTGTAAGTGTCAGGCAGCAAGGGTTGGGGGAGAGAGTGAGAGAGACAAGCTCCGCCTCTGAACGCCTTTCCCGTTAAAGTCCTACCCACTCGCTTTTCATTGGCTCCTGTTGTGTTTATCAAGCCCACAAGCCAAAAAGTTTGCAACATCCAAAGCGAAGAGTCAGAAAGAGAGTGAGAGAGAAAGAGAGGTGTGTGCGTGTGTGTGTGTGTGAGTGAGAGAGAGAGAGAGTGAGTGCGTGCACTCCTGGCATCCCCACCCTCATCGATCTGTGTTGTGTGTGCACCGAGGTTATACGAGAGCCAAGAGCATCCCTCTCAATTCACTTCATTGTCGAGACTCGGCCCCACTCTTCCAGGAATGAGCAGCCCTGATGCTGGTTACTCCAGTGACGACCAAAGTAGATGCAACATGGCGGGGATGTTGCCGGGGATGGGAGCCTGTCAGTGGGTTGAATCCATGAGTTCTCTGGGGGACTCCAAGGTCGGCAGCAGCGGCGGCGGCGGCGGCGGCGGCGGGGATCAGGTGGGCAATGCCGGGAGCGGGGGCAGAGCCAAGGCTGAAGCCAGGATCCGCCGACCCATGAATGCCTTCATGGTGTGGGCGAAAGACGAACGCAAGAGGCTCGCTCAGCAAAACCCTGACCTGCACAACGCCGAGCTCAGCAAGATGCTGGGTAAGTGCAGTCCATCACAGCAGCGCACTGCTCAACCTGTCCTGCATTTCATGTCATTGTGTGTGTATCAACTTGGGAACAATTCATAATACTGGGTTGGATCTTTATATATATATATATGTATACATATATACATATATATATACATCTCTATACGTCCCCCCGACGTGAAAAGCGCTATATCAAATGCAAGGATTATTATTATTATTATTATTATTATAGAGTTATTTTAAAATATATAGTTTCGAATAACATGAAACACAAACGTAAACGTAACATAAAAAGACAAAATACGCGATTTGAATGTCGTAAGGGAGTCGAAAATCAATATATATATATATCTATATTTAAAAGATGCGTTGTGCCCTGGAGTTGGTTGGGATGGCAACACAACGAGCATAAAACGTAATGTAACGCAAAAGAGACCGAATACCCGATTCCAGGTAGTAAGGTTGACGAAAATTAATATTAAAACTTGGTTCTTTCGTGGAGTTGGATTGGGAAATCAGCATAACGTGTGCGCGCTTTCTCTAAACGCTTTCTAATGTTTCGACAACTTCTTTTTTCTGGTGCACAGGTAAATCGTGGAGAGGACTGTCCATAGCAGAGAAAAGGCCGTTTGTGGAGGAGGCAGAGCGGCTCAGGATCCAACACATGCAGGAACATCCCAATTACAAGTACCGGCCCCGGAGGAGGAAGCAGATCAAGAGAATCAAGCGGGTTGACACGGGGCTCCTGATGCACAACCTCTCGGAGCAGCACCTGGGCGCTGAGGGGCGCCTTTACAGCCCAAATCTCAACCTGACCTACCACGACAGCGGCTACTGTGTCCCAAACCAGATCGCTCAGCTCGGCCACTACAGAGAGCCGCAGGTCATCGCTACCAACGTGGACAGCTACGGTTTGCCCACGCCAGAGACCTCTCCTTTGGATGTCCTGGAACCAAATTCCGTCTTCTTCCCTCCTCACCTGCAGGAAGATTGCCAGATGATGCCTTACGCCGGGAACAACCCGGGTTACCCCCACCCCCACCAGCACCCCGACTACTCCGCTCAGGAAAACCACGCCGCCGCCTTGTTTTGCCGGCACAGGGGCGAGCCGGGTGGCTCCCAGGGCGATGGGATGGGACAGGAAGGTGGCTTCCACGGGATGATCGGCTCTTGCCACAACGTGGTGGCCATGTACTACAGCCAGATGTGCTCTGCCGGCGGCCAGCGAGCGCAGCCCCCGCCGCCCGTGCATGTGGGACAGCTCTCTCCGCCCCCCGAGGCTCACCCCGTGGAGACCCTGGAGCACCTGAGCCAGGCTGACCTGCTGGCCGACGTGGACCGCACCGAGTTCGAGCAATACCTCAGTACGGTTTCGCGAGGCGATCTGTCGGGACTCCCTTATAACGCGCCGGAGGCTATCGCAAACGGGATGTCCTCTGCAGACAGCAACCTGATTTCCTCTGTGCTTTCCGACGCCAGTAGTGCCATGTACTATTGCAATTTCACTTCCGCATAGGGGGCTATCTTGTTTATACATATATGTATGCATATATATCAAAAAAAAACATATGCATACGTATATAAATAAAAGGAACTGCACAAAAATATCGGATCAGTATTAGTTTTTTTAAATGAAAAAAAAATTCACTTGTCTTTATAAAACAAATTGGAATTGTCCTCAGGGTGTTTCTTGTTAAAAAAAAATGTTGCCTGATAGAAAAACAATTCTTATTTATGTTTTGTAATATTTAAAAAAAAATGTTCCTCTTTTTGCTTTTCGGATCGTGCTTCAGATCAGTACTAACGAGGGTCGGTTTTTTTTATTTTGGGGTTTCCAGACTGCAATGGGACTCCCCACCAAAAAATTGTGTTACACGTTTTTTAATGAAATAAAAAGGGAATTAATTTGTACAGCTAGCGTCTTCCAATTTTTTTTTTAAAAAGGGCAGCTTATCTGCAAGTTTGTACCGAATGAGCATTGCTTTTGCAATCACTATGTAAATATTTAATTTCGTAAGAAAAACTTTTTGAGAATGTTTTGTATTTTTTTTGCAGTTTTATTTAGCTAATAAAATGGTTTTGAAGCTCAAAAAAAAAACTTTGTGTATAAATTTCGTTATTTGAAAGAATCGCAAGCTTTGTGAGTGTCCCGAGCTCACGCAAATACCCAGTTTAGCTCTCTTCTAAGGTCGTTAAAACCCCTGAGTGAATGACTCCCAACAAAATGTCAAAACAAATAATGCTGTGAATCCTGTCTTTTCCCTGAACTAAAGCACCGCGCACTCAGCACAGGCAAAGCACGACCTCAGGAAAAGACGTGACTTTGGGTTTCTAGCAATAAAAAAAACAACAGCTTCTAACTTCCGATGCACATTTACACCGTTTTAACTCGTAACACCACAGAGAGAACAACATTTCCCATGTTTTGCTTTCTAAAAACGAAGCCGGGTCCTGTGATCTCCTGGTTTTGCATGTGGCTGGTTAGGAGAAACAACATTATTTTTGGAGACACAGAAGTCGCTGGGAACACTCAGCAGATCAGGCAGCATCTATGGAGAAAGGAAAGTCGTGGACCCAAAACGTTGACTCACTTTCTTTTCTCCACAGATGCTGCCCTGATCTGCTGAGTGTTTCCAGCGACTTCTGTTTCTGTTTCAGATTTTCAGCATCTGCACTATTTTGCGTTTTGCTTATATGTATATGGAGAGACTTGTCGCTGTGCGTCGGTGCTGCTCTCTTTAATGCCCACAATGTTCGTAATTCAAGAAGTTAAAATATTTTTTTAGAAGAAAAACATTAAACCTATCCCAAGCAAATATATATATATATATATAATCTGATGGTAAAATGCATTCGATCAAAACTTCAATAAAAAAGGGTTAAATCTAATTTCACTGAGGAAGGGATCTGGTTATCAGAAAATTGGACTTTGAAAATAATCAGAAGGGCAAACAAAACACTTGATAAATTTTTGTTAATCATTAGTCCTTGTTGATAATCCTATTTCTTAATATGGATGATGAAAGTGGTCAGGGATTGGGGAGGGGAATAGCACAAATACTGACTGAATCCCTTCCCTACCCATTGGGCGGAGTGACCTGGGACTCAAGTCAAGTCATACCCTCTCTATAAAACTGGGTTTAGTATCTTTCCCCAAATCTGCTCACAAAATCCAAATCTTAACCCCTCAGCTGTACAGCATAACCTGAAAACGCTTCTTACAATCGTTTTAAGTGACCCATCAGTCTGCGGATCTTGTTCGGTAAAATTTAAAGTGGGTTTAAATCGCAGGTACAGGTAATATTTGATCAGTCACCGCCTTGTTAATCACGAGTAGTGTATCGTGCGTTTTATTTGCTGTTCCTGCTTTTCCTCACTCCCGGATATTGGATCATGGCTGGGTTTAGAGGACAGGGTAACACTCACGAGTGGGATCCCAGAGAGGAACCTTTAACCAACGCTGAGGTTCTCACACAAAGAGCAGCTTAATAATAATAATAATAATAATAATAATCCTTGCATTTGATATAGCGCTTTTCACGTTGGGAGGACATCCCAAAGCGCTTCACAGAACACACTGTAAAGTGAATTGACCGTATATTTGTGGGCAAACGCGGCAGCCAATTGCGCACAGCAATGTCCCACAAACAGTCGTGGATTGAAAATGACCAATTTATTATTACTTTTGGTTTTGGAGGGATTATTATTAGGCTCCTTGTGGAGTAAGGAATCTTGCCCAAGGTTTCGCCTTGCCTGGAATTGAACCCAGGTCTCTCATTTGCAAAACGAGTGCTCTAACCACTGAGCTACAGGACTCCACCATCTTAAAGGTTGATCGAGGCCACACAAATGATTCTGAAGATGGCATTGCCTTGGCTCACTCGCTGTCTGTCTTGTGCCATGGCTTAGCTTTTCCCAGTCCGTTTTGGTGATGAAACAAATGATCAACAGTTTAAACCCCCACTTGACAAACTGTACAGGGACAGACATTTCACCAACACAACGGACCGGCTCCAGTTGCACTCGGTCAAAACATTTCATTGCCCTCTTTCAGAGTCTTTAACAATCAGATCAATTCGCAAGAACACTTCACTGCTCCCTCCATGTAATCAGGAGAGCGAAGGATAATACAGCAAAAGCCTTGTTCCGAATTATATTTGCTGTTACAATTTTATTGATGTGGATAATTTAATTTATTCTAATTGTTATTAATTTCAGTGAGGTTCTTTCCTCGCCCGTCCTCTCCTCAAAGTCCAACTGGGAGGAGATACTGGACTTCCTTGAATCTAAAATCGAGGGGATACGTTCAGTCACCTCAGCCCCGTCCACAACTATCGCCACATCACCTACCCTCATGATCCACCCATCCCCCCCTATACTCCTTCTACCCTATCTCTCCCTCCTCCCTCACCACCACTGTCCGCAACTCAAACCCACCACTTGTTCCCTCGATCCCATCCCCACCTCTCTCCTCGTCTCCCAGCTCCACCTTCTGGCCCTCCTCGTGTCCGATGTCATCAACCGCTCCTTGTCCAATGGTTCAATTCGCTCCCCCCCTGAAAACAGTCGTCATTGCCCCCATCTTGAAAAAACCTTCCCTGGATCCATCCCTTCTCTCCAGCTACCGCCCCATCTCTAATCTCCCATTCCTCTCCAAGGTCCTGGAACGAGTCATTGCATCCCAGCTCCACTCCTTTCTCTCTCGCCATTCCCTCTTTGAACCCCTCCAATCCGGCTTCTGCGCTGCCCACAGCATGGAAACAGCCCTGGTCAAAGTCACTAATAACATTCTGAACATCTGTGATCAGGGCTCCCTCTGCTTCCTTGTCCTCCTCGACCTCTCTGCCGCCTTCAACACTGTCGACCACTCCATCCTCATACACTGCCTCTCCACGTTACTCAATCTTCACGGATCTGCCCTTGCCTGGTTCGATTCCTATCTCTCTCACCGTCTCCACTTTGTTGCCTCTAACGGTTTCTCCTCCAGCCCCCGCACTGTCACATCTGGCGTCCCCCAGAGCTCTGTCCTTGGCCCTCTAATATCTATATGCTCCCCCTTGGTGACATCATCTGCAGACATGGGGTCAACTTCCACATGTATGCGGATGACATCCAACTCTATCTTTCTACCTCCACCCTCAACTCCAGGACCACTGCTGTCCTGACACACTGCCTGTCAGACATCAAGTCCTGGATGAGGGCAAATTTCCTACAGTTGAATGTGAACAAGACTGAGGCCGTCTTGATTGGCTCGCGCCAGCACCTCAGCACCTCAGGCTCTGGCAACATCAACCTCCATGGTTGCACACTACAACTCACCAAGCCAGTCAGGACCCGAGGTGTCTTGTTCAACCCTCAATTATCTTTTCTCCCCCACGTTCAAGCCACGACCTGCTCTTCCTTCCCTCACGTCCGTAACATCGCCCGACTCCGCCACTACCCCACCCTGCAGGCCGCTGAAGCTCTTGTTCATGCCTTCATCACGTCCAGGCTCGACTATGCAAATGCCCTGCTTGTCAACCTTCCCAGCTCCTCCCTCCACAGGCTGCAGATAATCCAGAATTCTGCAGCCTGTGTCCTCTCCCGCACCAAACTCCATGAACCCATCTCCCCCACTCTTGCCCAACTCCATTGGCTCCCTATCCTACAGAGGATCCAGTTCAAGCTCCTGGTCCTCACCTACAAAGCCCTCAATGGCCTCGCCCCACCCTACCTCTGCGACCTCCTAACCCCCTACCAACCCACCTGTTCCCTCCACTCAGCCGGCTCCAGCCTGCTCCACGTCCTCCGACCCACCGACCCCACCATTGGCAGAAGAGCCTTCAGCCACTCTTGTCTCCAACCTCTGGAATTCCATCCCCCAGTCACTCTGCCTCACCCCCTCCTTAGGCTCCTTCAAGTCCCGCCTCAAGAACCTCCTGTTCGACCATGCCAATGGCCACCCCACTTCCCCTCCCTCCCTTCGTCCCCCCCTTTGTCCCCCCCCCACCCCGGCCCCAGCTCAGGTCTGAAATGCTGTGCTCTGTCCAGGGCTTGGAACGTCATCCTGACGTGAAAGGCGCTATACAAATGTAATCTTGTTGTTGTTGGTGTTGTTGTTGTTTTAAGCACTGCTGAGATTCTGGTTTCCTTCTGTTTCGATATTGTGCTCCATAACTGAAACAAGATCAAAGAGACATAATTCTATTGATGACAGGCATGCAGCTCCTGTCAATGCAGTCTCTTTGAGGGAACCAAACCATTAACCTTACTTTACAGATCACTCCCAGTGGGGTGGGGGGTGGGGAAGTAATCTTAAGAGAACTGACATCATTTTTTTTTAAAAAAGTCAATCTATCCAAGGCATCTCTAGATGTTAATATAAAACATGAAGTGACTCACATCTTATGAATACCAATTAAACCATTTTAAATCTGCTTATGGCAAAATTTTGTGGGTAGCTTGCTTTGGTCTAATGATCAATCAATTCGAATAATAATAATTATTACTGTCATAATAATAATCCGTACATTTGTTATAGTGTCTTATTACATCGTTGAGATGTCTCAAAGCACTTCGTAGGATTTTACTATTAGGTGTTGTGAAATTGATGAATGTGGCAGCCAATTTGCATGCGGCAATGTCCCTCAAGCAAGTATGAAGTAAGTGACCAATTTTATTTGGGGATTTTGGCCAGTACACTGGGATAAATTGTGTTCTCTTTTCAAAAAATGTCACAGGATTTTTAACATCACATCCATTTGAACAGAGAGAATCTCAGTCAAAGTCAAGCACAGTTGCAATGCCCATAAGTCTCTGTCAAGGCTCATATATGGAGAACAGTGACTTGGATGAGGTATCAGCACATTATGGACCTATGCCTCTGTAGATGGGAAATTGAGTAAATTACCTTCTAAAAGGTGTGCACATTCATCACTTTGACATTCTTTACAGGAAAAATGTGTGCAGAATATCAAATATTCCATCTAGAACTTTTTTTTACCTTTAGCAACTACTGCAGGCAATTTCATGTTTGCTGTAGTTGCTTTGGCTGCACCTGGTTGCTATGCCACCTTAATACACAAAAGGAAAAAAAAGT